TGAAAACGGAGAGATGATGCTTGAATTCTTGGGAAGCAACGAGCTGATGCCATTGAACGGTAGGAGGGAATGCGATAAGCCGGAGTTCACCAGGCAGCGGGCAGTTTGCAGTGAATACTCGATCCTCGACTACATCCTGGTAGATAGGGGGAGCACACAGATCCCAGAGCTGCACGTGAGTGCGATAGATATAGGTTCGACCGACCACTTCCTCATATGGGCAAACATCGACCGATCCAGAAAGATCAAGAGTAAGAAACAGAGGAAAGTGTTCCGATGGAAGGTAGAGCGTTTGGGAGACGATGGGACACGGGATGAATTCCAGAAGGGGCTGGCTGGTAGTGTAGAATCCTTCAGGAAACTGCTGAGAAGCGTCGAAGACGGACAGGTAGACGTACAGGCAGCAGGGGACAGGGTGATTGAAGGGTGGGAGTCCATCGTGAACGCAACGGCAGAGAGAGTAGTGGGAAGGAAGGTGGTACGATGTGGGGTATCGGTTAAGTGGTGGGAGGACGAGCTGGAAGAAGAAATAGGGGAACGTTGAGAAGTCTTCAAGCAGTACCTGAGTGAGGCGTCTGAGGAGAGTTGGGAAAAGTACAGGGCCAAGAGAAAACAGGTGAAGGGACTAGTGAAAAAGAAGAAAAAGTGTATTTGGGACGAAGTAGTGCAGAAGGCCAACGGAGGCCTGGAGGGAAACGTCAAGCAGATGTGGGAAGGGATTAGTGGAATGGTAAAAAAGACCGCGCAAGGGGGGGATACAGGGGTCGCAACTTTGCGAGGTGTGAACGGTGGATTAGTCAGCAGTGGGAAGGGAAAAAGGGAAGTTCTAGCAGGACACTACAAGAGACTTGGAGTGCCCTCGGAGAATGAAGCTTTTGACCAAGCGTTTAAGAAGGAGGTGGACGCATGGGCCCAAAAAGAAGAAGAGACATCGAAGGCAGACGTTGGGAACGTAGAACTAGAAAAGGAGTTCACTGAGGACGAGGTTGAGGCGTGTGTGAACAAGCTGAAGTGCCACAAAGCAGCAGGAGCGGATGGGATAGTCAACGAGTTCATGAAGTTTGGGGGGAAGGGGATGATCCAGCTGATGGTACTGCTATACAATTGGGTGTGGAAAAACGAGTATACGCCAAGTAGATGGAGGGAAGGAGTGGTTGTGAACTTGTTTAAGAAAGGAGACAAGACTGACCCAGGAAACTACAGGGGGATCACACTGTTGAACACAGTAGGAAAAGTGTTCTGTAAGCTGCTGAACGATAGGATAGTGGGAGTATTGGAGAAGGAACATAGCATTAGTGAGGGCCAGGCAGGTTTCCGCAAGAAGAGGGGGTGCGTAGACCACGTGTTCACGGTAGGGAGAATCATCCAAGGTAGAAAGAGGGCGGGAAAGCCGACGTACTGCTTCTTCCTGGACGTGAAAAAGGCATACGACACCGTGTGGAGAAATGGGTTGTGGAAACAACTGTCCAAATACGGGATCAAGGGGAAAATGTGGAGAGTGCTGAAGAAGATGACAGAGTGTACGAAAAGCGCGGTCATGCTAGACGGAGAACTGTCAAAATTCTTCGACATTGAGCAGGGGGTCCCACAAGGTTGCACGCTGTCCCCAACATTGTTCCAGGTGTTCATCAACGATCTGTTGGAAGTCGTAGAGGCAGTCCGGAAGGGAGTAAAAGTAGGGGACACGGAAACGTCGGTTTCAGGAATGCTGTTTGCGGATGATTTTGTCGGTATGTCGGACACCCCTGAGGGACTGCAACTGCAAATTGACGCGGCGAAGAAGTTTACTGATAAGTGGAGATTGTCTGCCAACGTTCAGAAGAGTGCCGTCATGGTATGCAACGAGAACAAGGAGGAACCAGTAGAACATAGATGGAAGTGGGGGATCGAGGAGATTGCAGTAGTGGACCAGTACACATACCTCGGAGTAGAGATCGCAAAAGACTGCTCGTGGAATGCACACATGTCCAAGGTAGCGGAAAAGGGCAAAGCACGAGCAGGGAAGCTGCACCCAATACTCGCAAACCGGCACCTCGATACACGCATCAAATTGACGGTTTTGAAGAGCGTAATCGTACCGCCGCTAGAGTACGCCGGAGAAGTATGGGAAGGAAATAAGAAGGTAGTGAAAGAACTCGAGGCGGCGCAGATGAAAGCAGCGAAAACCATCCTAGGATGCTCCAGGCGCACAAGTAATGCAGCCGTGAGGGCAGAATTGGGGATCCAATCCCTACGGTCGGGAAGAGACGCGAGGAAGCTGACCTGGCAGTATCGCATGTGCGGGATGGGAGAGGAGAGGATGCCGAGAATTGTATGGGAGGCGAAGTGGGCAAACAAAAAGAGGGGTAGACAACCCACGGAATGGGTCAAGGTTGTAGAGGACGTATGGAAGGGGCTCGACATCGACGAAGATGAAACGCTGGAAACGGAGGGTCTACAGGGGTTCAAGGAGAAGATATCTGTTGCTTGTGCCGAGAGAGAAGAACAGAATCTGAGGAAAGAATCCAAGGATAAGGAGGGTCTAGAAGTGTACGGAATGTTGAAGGAAGGAATAGGGTTCAAGGACTACCTACATGGACCAATGGATGCAGGAACAAAGCTTAAGGTCAAATTCAGGACCGGGGACATAGGCCTTCGAGAACGTCGACGAAGACATAGGACGGTAGACGAGGAAGACGACGAGTTCAAATGTGATTGCGGCTTCGAATGCGAAGACCGTGTTCATGTAGTCGCGGAATGTCCGTTGTACAAGAAGGAGAGGGAAGTGTACGTGACTGAGCTGGGAAAAATAGATGGAACGTACAGGGAGATGTTTGAGGCATGGAATAGAGAGGAAAGGACGGTAGCTGTACTGGGGCATAGGAGGTGGGTTGAAAAGGCGGGAAGGGATATCGTTAGGATAGACAGACTAGGGAAGACATTTTTGAGCCACCTTTGGCAAAGTAGCAAGGAACGATTGGCCATCGGTGATCGGTCCTGTGGGAACAATGCCCCGTCCTCTCGAGGACGCGTGGTCGATGGTCTAACCGCTAAGGCATGCAAAAGAAAAAACATAAGAGTACCCCCCCCCCCCCCCCCCCCCCCCCCCCCCCCCCCCCCCCCCCCCCCCCCCCCCCCCCCCCCCCCCCCCCCCCNCCCCCCTCGGCCGGCTGCCCTCCCCGCGTGCACCCACTCCAAAAGAAAAAGACGCCTCCTCCTCATGACAAACTGATTTCTAGAGCATGTGTGTACGCACCTCGAGGAAGCCGTGAGGAACGGCGGTCGATCACGCATGGCTGTCTTGGACAGACGGGCGTTGAGGCAGGCGTGGAACAGGTCCTCCGTCACCTCGCGCCGGTAGTGGTCGTGGGTCTTCAGCGGCAGAGCGGGCTGCGCGCGCGGCGTGATTGTATTGCGATAGGTACGCCCCGCGCCAGACGACGGGGTGGGGAGGGGGGCATCCAGACGAAAGGGGTGGAGCGGCTTTTAGAAAATACACACATGATAAAAGAAATGACTGTCCATTCGAGATAATACCATAGCCGAAGAGGATGTGTTCCAAGTCTTGGTCGTTACAGTGAGTGGGAAGAAAACACCGGCTGGAGTCTGGGCTTACTATATAGCCTACACACTCAAATGATTTTTCAAGTGTTGCCAGCGGCTTGTCAAGCCGTGGTCGAAGGCCACGGTATGGGAAGAGGAAGAGGCATCGAGGCAGGACGAGGCGAGACGACGACCTGCACACGCAACAAGACGGCCGGTTTCGACTCACCTGTTGAGAAGAACTCCGACGACTACACCACGCCTCAGCCAGGGAAACATGGCAACCACCTGATTCTCCCGGTCTGCCTCCCAGACGTCGAGGCTAACCCCGAATCCCCCCTCCCAACAGGGACAGACGGACACACTTCCTCATCTGTAGGAAGACCGTGAGAGCCATGCTGTTGAAAGCCCCCCCCCCCCCCCCCCCNCCCCCTATAACCAACTTGTCTACGGTGCCCCCGTTTCGGAGCCAAGACCGACCGAAGAACAACGAACGCCACTATCATGCTGGAACGAGAACAGGTAACAGATAAACACCATTCCCTCCTCTTCCTCTCTTCCTACTGCCGGTGTTCTGCGCAACACAGAAAAACACCGTGTTGTATGCCATACTTAAAAAAAAAAACAGTAACACAGAAAAGGGCGGAGCGGCTACAAAATAACACAAGGAATGGGTTCTTGCCTGCTTAACCTCGAGGACCATACTACTGGAAGTGGCCTCGCTGTCGGCGAACACCGCCGCTCGCACGTCGTAGTGCGATGGAACTCCCACCGGGGGTGCTTCCTTGGTGTCCCCTCTCGGGCACCCCTCAAACACGCCCTTTACCAGCTCCACCTTCGGCCAGGAGAAATACGGGAGGGGGCGTTATCGACAACCGAGCAATGAGTGGTCGTTCGCGCAAGGGTCCACTAAAAAAAAAAAAAAAGTGCTACACATCGACCACCTTCTACTCGGTGTACAGGGAAGCGACTGCCTGCCGGATACCTGGCGCTTCTGCGGGTACGGACACAGGTAGACACGTGCCAGAAATACCAGCAACGAAAGCGACAACACCGACAAGAACAGCAGCCACAATAACAACAGCACCAGTGAGACAAGAGGAGAACAACAATAAACGTGAACATGAACAAGACATGAAAATAACGCGAGCAAGCACAACAAGACAAGACCACACCAACAAATAACAGCAGCACCAACATGAACAAGAGACACGAACAAGCACAACCAGGAGGGACGAAGGCGCGGCGGGCTTTCTCCTCTCACCACTCCCTTCCCCCCGTCTTCGAAGTCCCCAACGGCCACCACCGCCATGCGCTCCGGGTGGTAGTGCCTCGCGTAGAAGGCCCGCACAGTCTCGGGCGGGACTGTCCTGATCACCGACATTAGCCCAATGGGTAGCCGTTCTTCGAACAGGCTTTCGTTTCGTCCGTTCGTTTGTTGGGCAATACGGACGGCACCAGGACAGCGTGAGGGGTCTGATGTACCAGGAAACAACACCAGTTCGATATTGGCGAGCTCTCGAGGCACCAAGACGCGCAAATCGGCCGCGTGTCGGTGTCTTCGAACAGCCGTGCCAGTTTCGTTTATTTCATTTTTCAAATCGGTTCTTGGGACCCCGAAAAGCGAAAATTCGTAGCAAGAAGGGACCGGACTGTGCAGATTTTTCCAACCTACCAATAGCAGTAGCCCTTGCAGGCAAGGAATCTTCGAAGAGGCTGGACTCGACTCGACTACAGGACGAAAAAGTGATCAAGACCGAAAAAACATAGACAGGCTTGGGAAAACATTTCGTGTGCAATTCTTCCTAACCCCACACAAAACAGTCAAGCGTGCGCGTCTCCTACATGCGCACGAGCTCACATAACCTGCACACACATGGATGCCTACCTCCCTTTGACGACCAGCTTGAAGAAGTCTTCGGTAGCGCGCTGTGCGCAACCCCTTCCCTGCCTCCACTCCTCCACGACGATCGACCTCTCTCGCTCCACGTCGTCGTCGGACAGGCGCACCTTAAACAAGCAGCACAACCGAGGGATGCGACACTCAGAAATCGAGATTATGGTCGCTGTGCGCAAACAGGTCCGGTAGCCCACAGACGTTGAAATGTGGAAGACAAGATATGACGATGTAAATCGTGGACTGGTGTAGCGTCTGATTGTAACAGAATACGCAGGGCACAGCTCAAACGAAGACACCGCATAGCAAGATCAAGGCCCTATAAGTGACGGGAAACAAGTTCTCATATGCTTTACAATGGATTGTTGGCAACAGCACGCGTGCCACTCTACTTGCGATAATTGGCATCGCCTGCCATGCCGAGTGGTCACGTGGCGTAGCACTTGCCGGTGTTGCGCTGGGAATGATTCCCGGAGCCAGGAGCGCCAAAGCACCTCCCCCGTCTCAGCCTTGCTTCTCGACCCTCGCCCCCTTGCCAGTTCGCGTGGCACCCTGAAGGTCCTCTTCAGCGGCATCACTTTACTCCACAAGTCTACCGCTGTGCCATGCCCTCTGGCCTTGCTACCCAGTCCCCTGAATCGCCTCTTCCCCGTCTCCGACACGCCTTCCCGGACCTCTTGTGACAAGACGCCAACCATCCCGACTCTACTAGAGAATTCTCTCCAAGAGCCCTCCCCCTGACTCTCGAGGACGCGTGGTCAATGATCTAACCGCTAAGGCATGCATAACATGAGAGTAAGAGTACACCCCTGACTTTGTACCCCCACCCTCCCCCACCCTCGACTTGTACCCCCTCCCGCCCTCCCCGCGTGCCTCGCACCTCGAGCGCGAGTTGTCGAAGCACCCGGAGGCTCCTCTCCAGGAGCACCGGCTGGTCGGCTGGTACGTGCAGCTCGTAAACCGTCTCCTCGAAAGACGTGTAGGCGTTCTGGTGCGCTCCGAACTTGATGCCGTGCGACTCCAACTGGGGGTATCAGAGGAGGAGGAGGAGGAGGCGGAGACCAAAGTAAAGAGGAGGATTTCGACATGATACGCATATACATAGGTATCCATAGCAACAAAAGGTCGGGTTGGATCGGTGTTCTTGTTTTCCCATGTTTCGCGCTCGGTTTGGTTTCTGTCCGGACCGGCTTGGGCGTTCGGTCAGCTATCGCCCGTTACATCACGAGCGGAAGCCCGCACACGGCAGTAGAAATCCGCCTTCCCCGCGAAAAACTTGCCTCCTTGACTAGATCGAACTCCTGCGGACAAGTCCTGCTGGCGCGAAACGCCAGGTGCTCGATCAGGTGCGCAACCCCCCGCTCTTGCTCCGTCTCCATCACGGACCCCACCTGTGTAACGTTGCAATCGGCACGCAAGACTTTGCCCTCTACTTTCAACCAGCGCGATGCAAGAGAGAAGGAGAGGGGGGGGGGAGGCGAACAAAGGAACACCTTCCCGGCTGTCTTCATCACGGGGATTCCTCATGATTATCGAGAACGAACTCCATCTGTGTGTTCGTGACCAGAGGCAACCTGATCTTCATGCCGGGATGATTCCATCTGATTTAAGTGACGGGGTGATTCCATCTGATATTGATGACGGGACGATTCCATCTGATTTCCAGAACAGGATGATGTTCATGACGGGATGGTTCCATCTGATTTTCGTGGCGGAATTCAACCGGTTTTTCGATCAGCGCCCGAGACGAACGCATACCAGTGCGCGATGCAAACGCCGATGAATAAACAAAGAAGAAGAAGGAGGAGGAGCCACGTCAAGAAACACGCCTTCACAGTGGACGCCGGAGATGGACTAAGCAATCGCCCCCCCTCCCCCCCAGTCTTTGAGATGCGCGCGAGGGAGTTATGACAATCGAAAAAATAAGCCGACCATGTACGACTAGCGCTTAAGAAGGAGCTCCTCATTTTGTTCTCCGCGTGCGTGGAAACCAATGCATGGCCACTTTGCTTGTTCTGCACTGCCTTTTGAGTGCGGGTGTTACGAGAGCTGGACCAAGTGTTACGAGCGTTATCGTCCAAAGCTAGCCAGAGCAAAACCACTAACCCCATCATCATAGCCCTAGCCTGGCATCGTGCATGGAGATGGTCAACATTATACAATCTTGGTAGAGGACTCGGCCGAGTTGCCAGTATCGAGGCTTCGGTTGGACCTCATCCGCAAAACTCCTTTGAACGCGATTTTATTACCTTGATGACGATGCGGAGCTCAGCTCGCTCTCGCGGGTGCCGGTTGGCTCGGACGTAGTACTCCATGCCGTTGGCGAGCTCGCCTGCGTCCGACAGAAACCGAGAGTACAGGCATCGTCACGAGTACGGAGGGAACGGTTCACAAGTCGGGGTGATTATGCGCGCAAACGCCGAAGGGCAGTACCTGTTCTTCTCCAAGCACCACGCTCCTCCTCGCAAAATGTTAGATCTGTTTTTGTTGTTTTTCTCTGCCCAGTGCATATCTTCATCCGCCAGCTGCACAATAATAGTACGGTACCGTGTGCGTGCCAGGGTCATGGGAAACGACAGACTGCAGCACGTTCGCTATGGGGGGCGCTAGAAAGTTTACCTGGGCCCGTCATTTGGGCCCGTGGTATGCTATATTGTGGCATACTTGTGGTGCTGTGTGACGACAGAGGTGGAGGGAAGAGGGGAGTCGGTTCGTTCTCGATGTCGTGTGTAACTTGCACCGAGGCTGTTGGGCCCAAAGCATCAATATGGATAATCACCGTGGATGTTAGGATCAAGTATCTTTGCAAGCCCTTCTACCACTCGACATCCTTCGAATGTTGTTCTCGGGACATGTGGATGGAGTTGCGTAAATCGTCGAGTGCAGGAACTCTCTTAACAATCCCTACAGTCGGCAGGAAATAATCCGAACGCTAACAGGGGCCGTGGCTGGCAAGATAGGGGGGTCAGGTGCGGGAGCCTTCTCAGCGGCCCGCGCAGATTTGGCGGAGGCGGTGCGTACAGAAAGACATGTTCGAGCCTGAGCTTCAGCAGCAGAGAGACGTAGAATTGCCTAGCCCACTGCTCTCGTGGGCCATGTTCTCACGCGCTCTCTGTGCCTCCGCTACCTTCATGCCTCCGGCCTCTCGATGCGTGGTACAAGCCTGTTTGGGCTCCTTGTTGGCGTCGTTGTTATCTTCACATTGAAAATCGTTCCGATCTATCTAACCCGTACCAACATCTGTCCGTGCTGATCTAACGCTTGACGCGGTCGATTCTCGTGGCCACAGGCCAATGTACATTAAGAAAGGTATGTAACTCAAGTCCTTGCGCGTGCATTTTTTTTCGGTGCATCGACCAAGGTACGTTCGCCCCCTTGGATAGAACGGCCTAGCCTCCGGATCCCAAAATAGACAACAAAAGCGTTCCTCCCGCGGTACGTCTCCTTTGTGGCGAAGTCCCAACAACATGCCTGTCTCTGTGGTTGTGGTTATTCAATCAGCGCCGACTGCGGTAATGTTTGTGTTGACGTGTTTTTCAATGGTAAGAAGTTCAAGTATCAACCACGCTATCGGCTGGCCAACGAAAAGACGCCAGGGTGATGTCTAGCGGGATTAAAACAAAGCGTGCGCGTGTGCTTGTTTGTTGTTTATTTTTCTCCCATCATTGGACTCTGTCGTCTGCCCCTCTGGCCCCTATCCTCCACTTCTACCAGCTAGACGACCCAACCGGGGTCACATAGGAGGGGGGGGCTGGACCCCCTCCTGCGGTTCCTGCCTGAGGTATTTTTATCGCGAGAAGGGTACAGCAATCCCTTCCCTCGCGACTTACGAAGTCGATTATGGTTTACTAACAAACGAGCTTTGCAGCGCGTTGCTTTCATCCTAGACCAGGATTTATTTATGAGAAAACTCTCACTCTGCCGGGACTCGAACCCACGACCTGGCCCTTAGCAGGCTGCGAGGCTACCCACTAGACCACCGGGGCGACCGGTGTGTGTGCGGTCCGCTCTCACAAGCAGCATCACACCAAGTTTCGAAGCGGTTTGCCGGATGTCTGCATGTACGTTGGTGCCAATGTGCCAACTTGCCCTTGTTCAGAAATCATGAATATACATCCTGGGTACGCCTTAACCCCTCACGGCAAGCAGACTAATTCGAGGTGTGTCGCTAAGTTTGCATGTACCCCGCCGCGACATATTTGAACAAGGTTGCGCACAGCACAGGCTACTATGATGTTGTGACTGCACAGCTACCGACACTATGCATGGGTAGGCGAGATTCACCGACAACAGAAGGATTGCTTACACGAACGAACTGGTTTTTCCTTCCTTAAACATTCTTCTGACAAGAAACACTCCCAGCACGCCTCACTCTATCCTCCTCCGCTCATGCGCCTCCTTCCGCACCTCTCAACGTTGCCTTGTCGAAGGGGATATCAGCGCCTGGGTCAAACGAGACTGCTTCGGGATCTCTGGCGCCTTTGCTGGCGGCCGTCTTAGCCTGTGCCGCCGCAGGCCCTGCCTCCCCCACTCGGGCATCGGCACCCTCACTCCCATCGTGGGTGTGCTTTTGTAGCTCCTCCATGGAACCCACGCTGTTCGCGTTGCGTGTGTTGTTCAATGCGTTTCGGAGTCTGGTAGTGGCGATAAGAGGTTGGCGGGACTGTACAACCTGCCCCCACCCTAGCCTCCCTTGTGGAGGCCCCCTGTTTGCACAAAAAATGGTTCTCGTGTCTCAATATCATCCCGAATAGTTACATGAGGACCGGCTGGAACCTACCACCCGAGTTGTGGACAGAGCCCTTGCCTCTTTTGCCACTCCCCGATACCCCGTGCTCGCTGCGGGTTCTGGGCTGCTGCAGGTTATAGGGCCAGGTCTAAAGGACGCGGGGCTGAAAGGAAGGTCGTGAGCATGCGGCCACGGGATGAGGGAGGTCGCCAACAAGTGTGCCTGGAACCCAAACAGCAGCGCGAAAAAAACGCGAAATTTGAAATTTAGGGGCACGTCTTCGAATCCTGTTCACCAAATAGGGGCAGATGCACATGGTGCACCGCGGTAAGTCTATTCTGGACATTTCCGGTTTGCGGTACGCCGCCCCAACGGAAAACGTGCTGCCGATCGACAATTGCGACGGCAGAGAAGATCAAGTCACCGTCTTTCTCTCGACAATCGGTAAGTTCCACAATCCGCGGGCGGAAAGATCGCGGTGCCAGTCTACAGGTTGACGACTCTTGCCGTCTCTAAAAGCTGTCTGCGATGTGCACCACAGTTTCAAGGGCCAGGCATCTCCCCAAAGTTGCCACCGTTGTTTTTTCAAGTACGGACACAGTCGATATTCCCTGGCTGCCTGGCTGCCATGCTTCGCCGTCGCGTGGAGAGTTTCGAAGTCAACGTTCGGTCAACTGCTGTCTGTGTCATCATTGTACGCGTGTTTCAAAATTGCCCGCCCCATGCCATCCGCTTGCCATTGTAATGACAGAGAGCCACAACGCTCAAACAAATAAGCTGTTCTACAAAGTCGGTGGCGTCCTATTGACTGCCTCTTTCCGGTTATGAATACAGTTTCAGCAACTGCTCTATCGATTGCTACACATTCCCGGCAACACTGCACCCACGGCATACCGAACAAGGATGGCATTGTCGCCGTGTCCTGACTGACCCCGGCAAGTGCCACGTCCTTCTCCCGGTGAGTTTCAAACCTATGGTACATCTTCTGTTGTCACGCATTGCCTGCTCGTACTTGTCTTTGCTGTGGCATCGAAGAGGAGCCTTCCTATGAGTACGCCGGATGTGTCTCGCGCTACGGCAATGCGTACGAAGCCCTACGGCAAGGAACGACTCTCCTGCTGGTGCTTGACGACCTAATCGAACAACGGCAGATGCAGATTGGTTATCGCTTGATTTCGTAGTCGATTGAATGTGCATGGCATGGATCCACCCCTCTGTCCTTCCCCCTTGACAGCTCATCATTCGTTCCGTGAAGAACACGCGACGCCGAAGCCGAGTGCGGCGCGTTCAATGCGTTCTGCTTTTCGGACGACGGCAGGTGTGCTCTGATAATTGCAACAAGGACCCCTACCAAGCTTTCCTGCTCTTGGGGGGGGTTGCGGGTGTGTATTCTGGGTTCCGTATCCTGACGAGCCTACTACGCCGAGGACCGCAACACACTGTGCTCTGGAGATGCCAGCGCCGCATGCGGGAGCACCACCTTCGACTTTTTCTTTTGACTCTCCTTGTTCTTTGTACGGAATTGTCAGAAGCGGTGATATGGACGCATTAATGTTACGCACGATGATAAGCCCATCTACCGCCCACTTGGTACAAATGATACCCAACGGCGAGCGATTGTGGTCGCCGATGTTGCGTCTCAATCTTTGGTGAACCCGAAAATACGGTACACGGCCAATCGGGCAGCGCGAGCCAGACGGAGCCGCCTTTAATATGCAGAAAAACTTGGTTGATATACGCGATCCCCCCCAAACGGATCATAAGAAGTGCCTACTGTGAACTTGAACGTTGAACATTTGAAATGAGCTGTGCCCGTTGACTGAGAAGCTTTCCTGTTGGGTCATTACAAACAGAAAGCTCGCTTCGCTCGCGACGAGTGGGGCTGGTAGATTAACGAATAAACAAGCAGGTGCTTTCGACGCCCGAACGACGGGAAAACGATTGCGCCCCCACAATGTTGCTCCTTTATGACGCTAGCCAAAGAGCGTGCGATGAAAGGCTCGAACGAACGCCGCAGACCATTGCTGCCCAAACATAGGAACGAGTTTCATACAGTCTACAATCTCCGGGCTTTTCCGCGCTCCCAGCATGCATTGTCCATTCAAGCAATATATCCTTCCTTCTACAATGGTTCATCCGCTATTCGCTCTTGTGCGTTCCGTCGGCGAACAATCGCATTGGGTGGATGACACACATGCAGAGATAGAACAGCATGGCCGATCGATTTCTCTACTTGTGCACATGTCGCCGCTCGCACTGCGGTACGCTATCATACATACACACGCCGTCGTCACTTTCCGCCTCTTCGTTGTCTCCCCACGACGCCACGAGCACGCGATCCTCACATGACCGGATTCAGCGGGCAGACGTTTGATTTCACGGGGGAAGGCTAAGGCTGGTACGTGGTCCTCTCAAACCCGCCCCAACATCCACCTCAACACGCGCAGAAGCGCACCCGTCCCGTCGGTGCCCGAGCTCACCCGCATTCTAAGAATCTCCATCAAACCACGGACACCGAGAGCGTGGACCACACAATCGTCACCTCCGTCGCCAACCCGCACAGCCTGGACAGCAGGTGTCCCGTAGGAGTGTCGCCTTGTCTTGCCGAGGGTACGCTGAGCGTAGAACTCGCCCGTCACCCCGCACTCGTTGCCCCCGGCGAGGTTAGCCTCGGCCCCGCATTGGCGACTTCGGCGGGCCATTTTCCCGGGGCCCGCAGGAGCTTTGGTTTCGAGAAGTGAATAGGCAGGGAAGAAGTGCAACCGCTACAAACGCATGCAACGATATTACAAGATCATGGATAATGACGACGAGGAGAGACGGCTTTCATTTCCACGCGCCTGGGACGGTGATCAGTCGCTAGCTCGCATTCCGCACCAAGTCCGCCCCGTGCGCAAGTGGAATCAAAGTTTCTTCGCGCGTCTTGGTTTATCGTGCAAACTCTGAAGGTACAGGGAGAGAAGGCCGACTACGCCGGAGCCAGCCGTTGGCTGTGGGATTTCCAGGTCATGCAAGATATGGCAGAATGGATCCTTGGTGACCCCACCGCCACCAACATGGATGAGTGCATCGAGTGTTTGACCGGGGCTATGGCGCCGGTGCACGACGACGGCCATTTATTTGCACACGACTCGGAACATGCGTCGTTCCACATCATGACTCCGGGTAGAAGGATTCGCCTCAGTCACGATCGCCTGCACCAGCTTGCTGTGCGTGATCCAACGGACCTTTTAACATTCCCGACCACATCACCTGGCAAACTAACCTGGCGGTAGCTACAACCGCGCGAGCCTAGACGCCACAGGGATCCTAGGCGAGACACTAGTGCCGGCGCTCGACGGCAGTGGGAACCCCATCACGTAGGGCATGGAATCCATTCGCGGGTCGAAGGAAGACTGTAAGTACCAAGTTCAACACAGAGCGTGTTCGGAGTGCCTTCAAGTTCGGAGTGCCTTCAAAAAGCTGCGACATCGGAACACCTGGACACCACGGAAATGTAATACTTTTCAATGAAGAGAACAAGTAGCAGGCGAGAGGGAGGTTGAAAAAACAGACGCAGGTCAGGGATGCCTACCGTATATGACACAAGATGACACACCCCCTGAACCGATTTTCAAAGCTCGATTACTCCACGACAAAGAGGATGCATAAACGAAACGATACATTTTCGAAAAGCTCTCGACAAGACGGTTTCAACGCCGCCGTTTTCGGCGCTGTGACTGTTCCGGCAATTAAGAAATCGAGCTTCGAAAATCGGTCAAGGGGGTGTGTCATATACGGTAATGGCCAGTGTCTACACGAACAATTCCAAGTATTGAACTTTGATGTGCCCTTCACGCTGTGGCCTTGGTTTCTTACACTGTCACATTCTAGGAATTGACTTAGAACGTGCAACAACGTCGCCAAAACTGATATTATGCTAAGAAAATCAGAAAGCAGAAACAATGACACCCAAACCATCGCTTCCGCGTCCCTCGAACCCTGTAGACTAGTGACTAACACAGCCATGCTGTGTGCGTGAGATCTCCAAAAAAAAGGAGTACAGGCAGGCGAAAAAGAAGCCGTTCACCCACGCGTATCTTGTCTTTGTCTTTGTCACTTGGGATATGTATATAGAGGTTGTCACACGAAGGAAATCGCGCTTTGTTGATTTGGAAAAAGAAGGAAGGTGCAACCATCATATTGAAAGAAAATGCATTGTGTGTGTTCTCTATCCCCGACCCCCGCTTTGTTCCCGACAAACCATATACTGTACGGACGCTCCTCAGATCGTGGTCGAAGGCCCCCTAGGACCTGCGCTCGCCCAGACCTACCATCGCGAGTAGTACAACCGTCCTGCCGGTGATTCAGCCTCGTCCGAACGGTGTCACCCCGGAGAACCGATCCCGGCCTCGAAATGGCTTGGCTTGATGGTCCACGATCTCCCGTTATGCTGCCATTTTCGGCTACTCGCCTGAACCATGTACTTCTATGATATAGATTATAGAGAACGCAGGCATTTGGCGCCCGTTCTACATTTCTGGACACTTTCGTGGGAGAATCTTGCACGAGGTGGGTGGAAACCTGCCGGCGAATCCACGCTGGCTTTGTATGTAGGAGGGTCCAAAGGACAGAACCATGTCGTTTTCCGTTTTCGCGATGTTCTGGCGTTGGCCTTGATTCTCTATGTTCTCAGTCCATCGTCGTTGCGTTAAGTTTTCATTGCGGTGGCTTCGCATGCTGAGAAGGAGCGGCTGGGTCTCTGTTGCTCGCCCGACCTCTCGAGTGGGCCACATGAATTTGGAGCAGTGTTGGTCCTTGAGCGCCCGAACAGATCGGGAGGGGGGGGCTCCACTTCCCCCACTACTACCTTGAACTACGAAGGCCAAGCGCCGTCACGTTACAAATAGAATCA